ACACAGAGGTGAGGGCCCCGAAGACAGAGCTGGGCCTAGGATGCCTGCCCCTGGCAGCCAGGGATCCTCCGAGCAAGTGGCGGCCACATGCCCTCATCTCACTCCTGCTCACCTCACCTACGCCCAGGAAGGGGAGCTGGCCAGCTTCGTCCCAGAATGTGGAGGGGAATCCTGGGTGAAAAGGAAGGGAGCAAGCAAGCAAGCAGCTAAACTCCTGAACCTGCCAAGTTCACCCGCTGAGCACCTATGCTGTGACAGGCACTGGGCAGGTGCCTGACACACCTGTGCCATTTGGAAAAATAACTTTCAGGGTTGGGTATTGTGATGCTGGTTTTACAGATGAGGAATCAGGTTCAGTGAGGAAGAACGATTGTACAAGGCACACAGCTAGAGAGGGGCCAGGCCGGCCACGGCCAATGGCTTCCGCTCTTCCTTCCTGTCACTGAGTTTGCCTGCTCTGAGCTCCAGATGATCTTCCTCTGTCTAGTACGGGAGCCTGCCCTGCCTCACCATCCTCTCTAGCCAGGGTGGCAACCTTGTGGCAAACAGAGCCCAGGTCAAGAGAAACCTCATTGGAAAACTAAGGAAAGAACCAAACCAAATTGCAAAAGGAGAAACAAAGAAACCCAGAAGCAAATGAAGAAGCAGAGTTGAATCATTGATGCTTTGACTTTCTGGGCTTTCCCAGTGGCTCAGATGGTAAAGAATCTGCCTGCAATGCGGGAGACTCCAGTTTGATCCCTGGGTCAGGAGGATCCCCTGGAGAAGGGAATGGCTACCCACTCCAATGTTCCAGAGAATTCCATGGACAGAGGAGCCTGACAGGCTACAGTTTCATAGGGTTGCAAAGAGTCGAACATGACTGAGCAACTAACGCTTTCAGTTTAAAGAGCTGATATGGCTGTTGCAGGGCTTCTCCCGGGCTGGAACACACAGGGCCCCAGTCCCTGTCTGGGTCGGCGAACAGCAGAACCCTGACATGGAGCCAAGTTGGGCTGGCACTTTCCGGGGCTGGTGGGGTTTCAAGATCCCTTAGATCAGGGTACCCAGGCTGCAGCTTACAAATCCACTCTGCTGCTCTGCTGAGATCCTGGACCGTGACACCCTAGGTGAGGGAGACACTTCTGTCTCCACTTTCTGGAATTCCTACCATGAGCTTCAACCTTCTTGTAGATCTTACTATTACTTCCTTAAATTACATTCTCAACATATAATAAAAGCAACACCAACACCAGCTAACATTTACTGAGCCTTTATTTGTGTGTCGGGCACTGTCAGCACTTTATATAACACCACTATGAGGTCAATAATATGATCTTCCAGGTGAGGCAGTCAAGACAGAGAGTTCCCTGAGGAAACCAGAACTGAAAAAGACATGTACCCCAGTGTTCACTGCAGCACTATTTATAATAGCCAGGACATGGAGGCAACCCAGATGTCTACTGGCAGATAAATGGATAAGGAGGTTGTGGTACATATACACAATGGAATAATACTCAGCTATAAAAATGAATGCATTTGAGTCAGTTCTAAAAACGTGGATGAATGTAGAGCCTACTATACAGAGTGAAGTTAGTCAGAAAGAAGATAAATACCATATATTAACACACATATATGGGATCTAGAAAGATGGTACCAACAATTCTACGTGCAGGACAGCAAAGGAGACAAAGACATAAAGAACAGATTTTTAGACTCAGAGGGAGAAGGGGAGGGTGGGATGGTTTGAGAGAATAGCACTGAAACATACACATTACAATATGTAAAAGAAATAACCGGTATGAGTTTGACATGTGACACAGGGCACCCAAAGTCAGTACACTGTGAAAACCTGGAGGGATAGGGCAGGGAGGGAGGGGGGAGGGGGGTTCAGGCTGGAGGGGACACATTGTACCTATGGCCGATTCACAATGATATATGGCAAAAACCATCACAATATTGTAAAGTAACTAGCTTTCAATTAAAATATTTTTTTAAAAGACAGAGAGAGGCTAAGTCATTCATATACAAGGCTACATGGCTCATAAGCAGAGGAGCCAAGATTTGAACCCAGGAGATAGGACCCCAGCATCTCTGCTCTTCGCCACTCCCCATCCTCCTTGGCCCTGAGGATATGAGACAGTCAAAGAAGCATTCTTGGAAGTCAGGCACAGAGTGCTGTCATCTACTGCTACTTATCGCTGAGAAACCTGTTTCCCCTCTGAGTCTCAGTTTTCTTCTCAATGAAATGGGTACAACAAATAGGCTTTGTGGAGTCCTTGTGCATTCTAAGACAGAGTAGGACCTGAGTTACATTGTTTCAACCATCTCCCTTTCCCTTCCCTTCCAGTTTGATGTGTTTCTCCTCCCCTGGAGCAAAGTGTGGCTTCTCTATATTCTGCTCCAGCTTATTCTGTAACTGTTTTGTGCTTATCACCTGTGTGACCCAGCACCAGGCATGGAGGGGCTGGATCTCGGGGGTGAGACTGAAGGCAGGGAACACTCGAAGGCAGCCGGGGCAGGAGGGCGGAGAGGGGGGCCGGCCGTGAGAGCCAGGCATCCGGCTGGTAGGAACGCTGCTCCTCCAGCATGTCTCCCTCTTGCTGGCCTCCTGCCAGGGCTCGCAGGAGACTTCTCTTTGCTTCCTACTGCTCAGCTTGCACCCTGCCGGGCACCCACTGAAGGCATCATGCCCCCAGGGGCGCTCAGCCTCTGATCCCAGCTCACATAGGCAGGTGTACATGTCCAGAGTCCTGACTCTGGAACCATTCATTCAGCAGACTGTGAGTCAGCCCCAGGCTTTGGGAACAAAACGGAAAATAAGAGGTTTGCCCTCAAGGAGTTCACCAGTATGCCATACCCTGCTCTCCCACAGGCTCTGCTGTTCTCCTCACTTGGGTAGGAATGCTAGACACACCTTTCCAGAATGTCATCATTTCTCTCTCCCAACCAAGAATTACTTCACTGGAACAGTCACACTAACAGTGACTTTCCCCTCTCCCCACCCTGACCAAGAGGACTGAAAAAGAAACAGAATTATTACTTTATTACTTACACATCTCCTATATACTACCAGGTACTTCAGATATATTACTTTCTCTAATCCTCACAACAACAATCCTGCAAGGTGGAATTATCCCCATTACACAGATGAGGAAAAAATGGAAGCTCACACAGAGATGGAGTCAGTTTAAACCAAGGCTGTCTGCCTGCAGAGTCTGTGCTCTGTCTACAGCCCTAGGCTGCCTGTCGGCTCTGCCTGCCACCCTGCTGATTCCAGCCCCCTCCGTCAGCTGTATTTTGTTCTTTTTTGTGTTTAGATTCCCTGCAATCTTATTGTTTGTGCTGGTCCCGGAAGAAGCCAACCTCTCTTCCAGTCCAGTGACAGCAGCAGCAGCAACATCCTAGGCACTGCCTCTGATTCTCTGATTAGCTTGTCTTAATTACACCCAGGCTGGAGCGATTCCAGTATAAAGTATCTGGTGTTGCAAAGCACACAGGTTTGCTGTTACATTTTCTCACTCCCTCTCTGACTCTAGCCACCCCCCACCACCACCCCGGCCCCTCTGCTGGCTGGCCGCCCACCTCGTCTGCTGTCCTTGGTTCTGCCTTCTTGCACATCACATTCGGGCCTGCAAGGCAGTGCTTCAAACTGCCACCCCAGGCAGCTGAGCCAGCCAGTCTAGCTTAATCCAGAAAACAGTGCTTGAGTTTCTGCTGAGTGCCAGGCACCGCTTGGGGTGCTGCAAATAAGCAGGAAACAAAAGGAAAATGCAGGGGCCTTGCCCTTCAGAAGCTGAGATTCAGAGGCTGGGAGAGGGATGTTCACAGAACAGACATCACCTACTCAAAGCAGACAGCAATGGGGTTGTAATAGAGCCCTGAGGTATCGGGCTGTGATGACCTAAAAAGGTGAGATGGAGGGGATGAGAGGGAGGCTCAAGGGGAAAGGGATGTATGTGTATTTATAGCTGAGTGATACTGCCGTAGAGCAGACACTAACACAGCACTGTAAAGCACTTATACTCCAATTTTAAAATATCCTTAAAATAAATAAATAAATAGAAATTAAAATATCCTTTAAAATAAAATACTGGGGCTGGAGGGAGCTTGGTTTTCTGTTTTAACTGCTCCATTTCACAGATGGGAGACCTAAAGATGGGGGCAATTATTTGAACTAATGATATTAGATAACATCAACTAACACTTCTAAAACCCCTACTAGGAGCTAAGTGCTATTCTAAGTGCTATACACATATCAACTCCTTTAACCCTCAGCCCCAACAACCCCAAGATGCCATTGTCCTTCCCATTTTAAAAATGAGAAAGATGAGGCATGGAGAGTTAAGCACCTTGTCTGGGGTCACACAGCTAATAAGTAGAAGCCTGCATTGAATTCAGATAGCCAGGCTCTACACGATCTCTCTAACCTACTGACTGAGTCTACCTGTGGAAGTAACGAGAAAGCTTTTTGAAGGAATTACTCACAGGCCTGATTATAAAACCAGTGAACCTTGGTTATCAACAATCAGAAGAAACATCCATTGATCAGAGACTTGGGAGTTCCTGAGTGCCATGAAACACAAGGAGGGAAAGCAGTGGGCTAAGCCCCCCCGCCCCCCAACCGCCGCCCCCGTCTTCAAATAAAGAGCCAAGCAAGAGGAAAGAACTCGGTGCAAAGGACTGACTCAAGAGCCAGGAGCAGCGCAATCCTCTTCCCGTCCTAGGTTCGGCTTTCTGCACATGACGCCCTCAACCTGTAAGACCTTTAATTTCCCCCAAAATGCCTCTTCCTGAAGCAGGGAGGCTAGCTCTGGTACCTTTTTAGATGGTCAATAATAGGAATAGAAATTTTAGAAAAAGGGCTTCTAGCAAAGCCTTGGTCAACTAAATACTTCCATTTCCCAGAATCTCCCCCAACATACACACACACGCATGTTGGCCTTTGCTTAACCAAGAGTCCTCCAGTTCTGCCTGTGAGTTTCAGAATAAATGCAGTTATCAGGACACAAATTACTTACCAATCACCGCCAGATTATGCTCTGAGCCACAGGAGATCTGTAAAAAGAAATAAAATAAGTTATAGATATAAATAGAATATTTAAGCCATTATGTTTTATGATCAGTTATTTTTAAGGATATTAACATCCATTTTTTGAGCAAATTTTAGGAAGTAGAAAGGGGCCCAATGAACAAAAGACTATAATTACAATACACTCACAACTCCATAAAAAGAAAGTGAAAAAATAAAAAAATATTGAATGGAAATACACCACAATGTTAATGTATTTGCTGGTAGGCAGAGACCATAAGTGATTTTTTTTTAATCCTTTATTCTTTATACTTTTTTCTGTATTTTTCAACTTTCTATAAGGAGCATGTGTTACTGTAAAAAAAAAAAAAAGAAAATATAAGGCAATACAAATGACAGTTTTGAAAAACTGAGCTAAAAAGTCCATCACTCTGGCCTGGAATGATAAAATGAGCAAAGAATTCAGTGGAAATAGACTTGCCCAAGGGAAGACACTTGACTTCTGCCCATCTGTTCACTCTCCCTTCTACCTTCCAGCCACACAAACCACCTGCAGCTCTCTGAACACATGCTCTCTCACACCTCCGGGCCTTCACAGATGCTGCTCCTCCACTCTGCAGGCCCTCTCCTGAACTGCCTACCTCGAAAACTTCTTTTCATCCTTTAAAATTTCAAAGCATCCCGACACTCCCTTGCTACTGATTCTAGCCCACTGAAGCACTCCTTCCATTAGGCAATTTATATGTATCCCCACTGCAGCAATCATCTTGTCGTTACATTTTTTCCCATTTCCTCACTAGACTGTGTGTGTCTTGAAGACAGGGCTATGTCTCATTCCCCTCTGCACGACTACACAGATGGACTGTACAAGGCCTGGGGCTCAGAGAAAATGTATGAAAGAACAAAGTACCTAAGAACAAACACCTAAGAGAAAATCATTTGGGGTTCTGAATCCAGTGCTGCATCCAGTGAAAGCTGTTTCTTGCCTCTCAGTCTCCGCACGTCCCAAATGCTACCAGAAGGAAGTGATTGGGAAAATAAAAGCATAAATCGTCCCCCAGATACTAATTAAAAGGAACTCTACACTCTGGAGAAGATCCTGTGACTTTATTGTGATGCTTCCTTTAGCTCTCGGCAAGAAAAAGGACTTCAGGTACTTATGGAATGTCAACTGGAAGAGCCCTAGAGATCACCTAGTCCAATCTTTCACATGATGTGGAGAAAACAGGCTTAAGAAGAGGAAATATAACTTGCATCAGATGCCAGTAGAACTGTGTGTGTGTGTGTGTGTGTTTAAATTAAGACTAGAGTCTCTCTGATTCCCTCATTCTCACACTCTCCTGGTGCTGTAACTTCTTACTCTTTCCTAGTGAAAAACCACTTGGCAGTGAAATTCAAGGGTAACTAGCAAAGGCCCCTGACAGTCAAGGTAACAGGCTGAAAAGACATTTGAGTATGGCAGGCCTGGTGGCTCAGCTGATAAAGAATCTGCCTGCAATGCAGGAGACTTGGGTTCGATCCCTGGGTTGGGAAGATCACCTGAAGAAGGGAAAGGCTACCCACTCCAGCATTCTAGCCTGGAGAAGTCCATGGACTAAGTCCATGACTAAGCAACTTACACTTCACTTCAAGTGAGAAGGGGCAGCCAGGCTTCTCAGGCTTTTTCCTTTGTAAAACTTATGGGTCCAGGATCTTAGTTTCCTCAGGGAAGAGGGCTACCCATGTTTAGTTGGATTCCCTGATGTTGTCTGGCAAGAAGTACCTGGATATTAAATATTTACAGGGTGACTAGTCTCTGAGCTCCTCTGAGGCAGGCTCTGTATCTGATTTATCTGAGGGGTCCCCCTAGGCCTCACCCAGGCCACACACACAGCACAAGTTCATCATATGCTTCCTGGTTACTGAGGCTGGTTCCCTAGGTTTTGTCATAGGAAGCTACTTAGATTGAAGAATTAGGAACAAACTTAGATGTCTAACAATAGGAGAATTCTATGTTAGTTACAGTAGAGCCATCTGATGACTTGGAAATTATTATGCAGCCTTGGAAAATGATGCTTACAGTAAAGGAAAATACATGTGATATCCTATGAACTGAAAAACCACATAAAAATTATATATGTAATATGATCTCAACTCTATAATAAAACATGAATAAAAGACTGGAAGGAGTTATTCCAAAAATTTAATAGTGATAGCCTCTGGGTTAAGGATAAGGTAAGGGTAAGGATAAGAATAAGGATAAGAGGGGCATTATGAGTATGAGTATGACTATGCCAAAGCCTTTGACTGTGTGGATCACAATAAACTGTGGAAAATTCTGAAAGAGATGGAAATACCAGACCGCCTGACCTTATTGAGAAATCTGTATGCAGGTCAGGAAGCAACAGTTAAAACTGGACATGGAACAACAGACTGGTTCCAAATTGGGAAAGGAGTACATCAAGGCTGTATCTTGCCACCCTGCTTATTTAACTTATATGCAGAGTACATCATGAGAAACGCTGGGCTGGATGAAGCACAAGCTGGAATCAAGATTGCCGGGAGAAATATCAATAACGTCAGATATGCAGATGACACCACCCTTATGGCAGAATGAGAAGAACTAAAGAGCCTCTTGATGAAAGTGAAAGAGGAGAGTGAAAAAGTTGGCTTAAAGCTCAACATTCAGAAAACTAAGATCATGGTATCCAGTCCCATCACTTCATGGCAGATAGATGGGGAAACAGTGGAAACAGTGGCTGACTATTTTTGGGGGGCTCCAAAATCACTGCAGATGGTGACTGCAGCCATGAAATTAAAGATGCTTGATCCTTGGAAGAAAAGCTATGACCAACCTATTCAGCATATTAAAAAGCAGAGACATTACTTTGTCAACAAAGGTCCATCTCGTCAAGGCTATGGTTTTTCCAATAGTCATGTATGGATGTGAGAGTTGGACTATAAAGAAAGCTGAGCACCAAAGAACTGATGCTTTTGAACTATGGTGTTGTAGAAGACTCTTGAGAGTCCCTTGGACTGCAAGGAGATCCAACCAGTCCATCCTAAAGGAGGTCAGTCCTGAGTGTTCACTGTAAGGACTGATGTTGAAGCTGAAACTCCAATACTTTGGCCACCTGATGCGAAGAGCTGGGTTAAGGGTTGAAAAGACCCTGATGCTGGGAAAGACTGAAGGTGGGAGAAGGGGACAACAAAGGAGGAGATGGTTGGATGGCATCACCGACTCAATGGACATGAGTTTGGGTAAACTATGGAAGTTGTTGATGGACAGGGAGGCCTGGCGTGCTGTGGTCCAAGGGGTCACAGAGAGTCGGACACAACTGAGCAGCTGAACTGAACTGAACTGACGAGTATGGTTTTCCCTTTGTCTTCTTCTATGCTCTTTAAATTTTGTACACAATTTTAATAATCAGAAAAATTATCTAGTAAAAATAAGAAAAATAAATATAATGCAGTTCCCACCACAGAGGAGTAAAAAAAAAAAAAAGGCTCTTGGCTATAAAATAAATATGCTATAAAATCTGACATGTTCTGAAGTAGTAGGGATAAAAAATTTGAAGGAAATAATTAACTAAATTATAAAGGTAGTTGTATCATGGTAGTAAGATTATTAAGATTTTTTTTCTTCTAATGTTCAAAATTAAAGCCACCATATACTAAGGACTCATATTTGTCAGGTGTCATGTCAAGATACTTTATAAACACTATCTCACCTTACCCATAACAGTAATCTTTTAGGTAGGTTTGACTTTGCTCATTTCAGAGAGAAGAGAACTGAGGTTCATATATATTCATAACTTCCTAGCTTGCTAAGTGGCAGTCATAGAACTAAAAGCCAGGTTTGTCTATCTCTAAGCTCATGTTCTATACTGCCAGGTTACACTACCTTTAATTTTTTTTAAATGAAGTTATTTCATTTTATAAATGCAGGCAGAAAGGTCCTGCCTCTGACTGCCAGGGCTCACCCTGAGGCTGCGGGCTGCAGATCTGACCAGCCTTGAAGACCAGGGGCTTCCAGAAACAAGTCACTGACAAACGCCAGCATCAGGCAGCAGATGCTGCTGTGAATTAATGAGCAAGACAGTGATGAATGGATTTTGTCAAGGCAATGTAGCGCTTGAAGCTCAAAGCTCCCTGATGTTTCTTGCTGTCTGCGCATTGGCACAGAGGTCAGGAGACTGAACACCACAGGCCACAAAACCCCAGTGCTACACTCCTTCAACAAGACTGTGTCAATGGCAATTTGCTTCACATTGCTTCTGTCAGCATCTACCCACTGCCCAGCTTTCTAGAAGACTCTGATAAAAATGGCAGTGTGCCCAGGAGAAAGAGATTCAGGGTCAGAACCAGGTGAATGCTAAGTCCTCTGCTTTCTGGCTCTCAGACCTTCAGCAAGGTACTTAGCCCCTGGAGCCTCAGTGTTCTCAGGAGTACAGGGGGAAAAATGTATCCTCCCATCTGCCTGACAGAACTGCTAGAGGACAAATGATACAGTCCATCCCCCGACAGCCATGAGTCTCATCTTCCTTACATATAACCCTGCACATGTCACGCCCCTATAGAAAACCTGCCACAGGATTTCAGCATTGGAAGGGCAAAGTCTACAGCACATGGTATGGCTAACAAGGTCCTCAAAAGGAGGCCCCTATTTACCTCTCCGGCCTCACATTTCCCCCTTGCTACTCATGAACTCTCAACCCCAAGTAACATATTCCTTTTTTCCCATTCACACTAGTTACATTTTCTGTAAGAATATCACACAATTTCAGACTTTTACACATGCTATTCTCCTTGACTCAACTGCCCTTTCTCCTACTCTCCATCTAGCAAAATCCTTTATGATAGTTTACATTGAGTCTGTATGCTCAGTCGTGTCCAACTCTTTGCAACCCCATGGACTGTAGTCTGCCAGGCTCCTTTGTCCACAGGGTTTCCCAGACAAGAATACTGGAGTGGGTTGCCATTTCCTTCTCCAGGTGGTCTTCCCAATCCAGGGATTGAACCTGTGTCTCTTACGTCTCCTGCATTG